CTTGCAAGGAACCTACATTTAGAAAGGGCAAACTTGTCTGCTGCTGATGGACGAGGATGCTTGCGTGAGAGAACGGCTTGAATTCTCATTTCGCTTTGTCGCGTATGTTGATTGCTTAATTAACGTCAACATTTATTTCTCATCTTGGTGACCTGACGAATCCCCCAAGCTAACAAATTTGGTGTAAATGGACACTCCGTTTTCCATGCATGCGGGTGAAATAATTAGGGACGGAATTGAATCGAGACCAGGAAATGTAAACGTGTCCTTGAACAGCCGGCCTGTATACCATTTGATTGTGAAAATGAAATAGTTTGAGCATACATTTTAAAGATCAACTCTTAGAGAAACGTACCATTTGTTGCCAACGTCGTGCTCCGCTTCTTGAGACCACGTCTTTGCGAGCACAGTATTCCAGACGGGGTGACGTCAGCACCAGCAAGCTGCTCTCGCTGCACCTGCTGCCTAGTCTGGCATGCTAACACGCTGAGCTGACCTTCATTGTCGGTGCGGGTCCGGAGCGCTGGGGTTATATGCCGGTTCAAAAGCGTTCCGGTTCACAAGCTTACGTTTGCCGGTTGGGTTGGCGATGCTTGTGGTAGGGGCGCCCGATCCCTCGGCCACGTTCGAGGGGTGAGCCACCAGGTGCCCTTGATTGCGCACTGTGCATGCACTGTCACCATCGATTAGTGGTGACGCCGGCCTCAGTGTTCCGTGTGCCCAGTAGCTGGCAGCCGGCAGTGCAACGTCAACCGCATTACCTTCAGCGGTTGCCGCATTGCCCCCCGGTCCGGGGCCCAATGTGGAAGTCATGAGGCGTGAACCCACAGGGGTGACCTTGGAGTGCACAGCTGCTTGTGGGTGATCGATGGACGGCGGCACGAAAGTTTCGAGCTGGCTGTGAAAGGGAAAGGGACGAAAGCGATTGTGATCGGTTTATCGGACGAAAGAGCTGCCTGAATGGCGGGCTTCAAAAGCTTCAGCCTGTTTCCCATCGTCGGACCGGCTGCGTACAGGATCTGAGCCAAGAATCTGAGCTCGGGGCAAGATCCGAGCCAAGGAGCGGGGACCGGGGTTGGATCCGAGCCAAGGAGCGGAGACCGGAACAGGATCCGAACCAAGGAGCGGGGACCGAGGCAAGATCCGAGCCAAGGAGCGGAGACCGGGACAGGATCCGAATCAAGGAGCGGGGACCGAGGCAAGATCCGAGCCAAGGAGTGGTGACCAGGGCAATGGCTCTCCCTCCTCCCCTTCCCCCCCCCCCACATAGCCATCGCGAGGAGCGGAACGAGGCCAGTTTCTCGGCGATAGCATGGCTGATCCTGCTCCCAGCCATAGGCCGCCTGTCGTGCGCTTCTCTTCATCACCGGGCGGCCGACGTGCAGCTGCCATCCAGAGATGGGCCGCAGGTCTGTGGTCTCATTGCCTGTCTCACTGTCCGTATTTCCGGTGAGAGGGCTCCAGTCCGCTCTCAGTCAGCGGGCGTGGTTTGATGGCGGCTCGTGACTGGTTGTTCCGGAAACCTTGGACGTTTTTGCCCGTTACCAACCACTCTTCCGAGGTCCGCCCGGCAGAAGACGCATTGCAGCATTACTTGAGTGTAGCGCTACGCGCTTCCTGCCCGTTGGAGAGGAGAGAGGCGGGGGGGGGGGGGGGGGGCAGTAGGCGCCGCTCCGTCTGGCCGCCGTATTTGCGCGGCTCGTGCGGTCGGCCCGTCCGCGGCGCAGTCAGGTGCAAGCCCGCCATCTGGCGGCGGCCAGCCCAGCCCCGCGGCGCCGCGGGGCTGGCCGTGACGCGTACCCGGTGACCCGGCCGACGCCGCCGCGCCCCGCCCCGCCCGGCCGCTCTGCCCGCGTCGTCGCTCGCCTCCGGCCACTCTCGACGGCTCGTGCCTCACGCACGACGGCCGCCTGGCAGCCCGCCAGCGGCGCACACAGATCGACCACAGCCAATCGGGGTCAGTGGAGCCTGCGCCGCCCGCGGCACTATCCGGGTCAGCTGGGTCAGCGCTTGGGCACCCCTGATGCGCTGATACGGCCGTCGCCGCACTCCGGAGAAAGTCGGCGGGCCAGGGAAGTGCGCTCTTACGCAAACGGGCGCGTTTGCTATTGTTTTTCGGCGATGCCGACGCGGTGGAGGCGGTTCGTGACGCGCGCTGACCGCCGCGGTCGTTAGGAGGATCGTGGCGCGGTGCGGCGATCTTGACGCAATGCCGCCACGAGCCGCTGCCACTGTGACGGGTCGAGGCGCCGGTGCACCGGCACCATCGTGCGGGCATGCTGTCCGACCCCCCGCCAGAGGCGATCTGTAAAATGGCCGCTCCGCTGACGCGCGCCGCGGCAATAAGCTTCGTTATCACTTCCTGTCCTCCCCGACTGCGGTGGCTGCAGCGTGCCTGGACGATCGCCCGGCTGCCTGGCTAAAGCCGGCCTGGAGGACGACCGTCGGTGTCTGACCTTGCCGTTGACTTGTCGACGCAGCCGCGCTGAGCACGCGTTCATGCGGCGGCCGTGGCGCTCGCCGGCGGCCCGGCGGCGCCTTGTTCGCGCTGGCCGATGCCCTTGGCAGCCCATGACGCATGCGCGTGGGCCAACTACGCGCATTGGGTGTGCGACCTTGCTCGTCGGCGCCGCGCCGACCGCGGCCCGCTCTCGCATCCCAAATATGGCCGCCGGCGTCGACCGCGGTCCGGGCGGTGGTCGTGAGATCCGTCGGGAAATTGTTGGGACTCGTGGGGGACCTGCCAGGGATCCGTGAGGAAGCCGTCAAGGCTCCGTCAAGGGTCCGTCTGGGCCCCGTCCAGGATCCGCTAGGGCTCCGTCAGGTACCTGTCAGGGTTCCGCCGTGGGCCGTCAGGCCTCCGTCAGGCCTTCGTCAGGGCTCCGTCAGGAATTGTCTTGGGCCTCGTCAAGGAACCGTCAGGGTACAAGAATATGACACGATTGGGAACTTATCTTTCGGTTTGGATGACGCGGAGTGCAATAGGCAGCACTTGACCTTTGACATGGCGTAAGTATCGACAGAGCTTGGAGGGCGCAGCCCGCGGCGACATGCAGCTACACGATTTACCTCTAGCTGGGCGTGTGTCCATCGTGTTTGACTGATAACACTAGTTAGAACCACTTTTCTCACTTTGCTGTTTAAACATTGACTTATTTGTGCTATATTCTTTGTGACTTTTTCCCCTTTCATTGATTTTATGCCTACAATGACCGCAGGCCCGAATCCTGGTGGCTGTCCGTCCAGGGCATTGTGATTTAGCTTTTGCATTCTGAGAGAGTGAACCCGAGCGGGGAGAAAAGTGAGCTCGTCATACTTTTGCATTATCCAAGATCAGCTGCCAAGGGATGCCCAGCATCGGCTGCCACGCGCAGGCCTCCGCACGCGTCATCGCTGCCCCACCCCAGTGCCCCGCCCCTCCGGGGCTGCGTTCGATACGTGGGTCGGATGTACGGCGCCGGCCACCCACCGCTCGAGAGGGAGGGCGAGACGTCCCGCCCTCTCGAGTTGAGCGTGTCCGAGCGGGCAGGACATGAAGGCCACCTGGTGATCTGCTTCCAACACACCTATCCTATTGTGTTCCGTATACCGCGAATCATGACGCCAAATGCAGGTGCATAGTACTACGATCTGGGATACGGCCTGGGGCCTGGTTACCCGATCCACCGCCGGCTGCGTTTTCGCAGATGACTTTGCTTTGTCTGTTGATTTGCGGGCGAGCGTTCGGAGAGATCCACCGCGATACGCTCTCCGCCAGACGACCACCGCGGTCTGGGCGCTCTTCTGGGCTTGAAACCTGGGCGGCGCCCCGATCTGACTTTCTTGGAAGCGAGCGTGGCGAGCCGAGCCCAGCGAGTCGGGCCGCACCGAGTCAAACACGCACCTCCGACGGTCGGTCGGCCGGCGGCCCTTTGTGTGGGACGGGCCGGCCGGCGCGAGCGGGCGGGGCGGACCGGTGCCGGGGGCGGGGCGGCTGGCGTCGCTCCAGCGGCCGGCAGGGGCGTGGTCGCGTCGCGTCGCGTCGCGCGGCGATCGCAGGCCGGATGGCGTTTAAAGGCCGCGCGACGGTGGCCTTGCGGGCCGGGCGCCGGCCGGCCCAAGGCTCGCCGGCCGGCCGGCTGGCAAGGTCCTTTGTTCGTCGGTGGAGATCACGTCGAAGCTGGGCCCGCCGGCTCGGTTTGAGTGGGACGGGACGGGAGGTGCGGCAGTTTGACCTGGCCGCCGCTGCAGGGTGCCGCCTGTGACCTGCACCGGGGTGTTGTGAGAGCTGGAGAAGTACGTGATGCGGTGACGCACCCTGGCCCGGCTGTCAAAATCCCGGCTGCTCTGAGGGCCGCGAATCGAGCGGTGAACGCGCGTAGTCCTCTACTGGCAAGTATAAGAACTACAGCTTCTGTCACCCACCGCCCGGTCCCCTCGGCGAGTTCCGTTCAGTGTGCAGCATCAGGCGCCGCAGGTGGCGCTACCGTCGCTGGCGGCCTCTCTCCGAAGACAAAGGCCGCGCTGAACCGTCCTGCCTGCCTGCCAGCTCGCCATTTGGCCGCGCCGCTGCAATCTGCGGCCGGCTGTCTCCCGTTGAGTCGAGCTCGCCGTGACAGAGGAGCAGAAGCGGCGCTCGCAGAGCAATAACTCACGGTCGATATGCGGCCGCGGCCCCGCCAACAAATCGGACGGGTCGATTCCGACGCGGGCGCGCGCTTTTTTCGGGCGCCTGTTGGCGCGCCGAGCCGTGCCGGCGGACTTTGCCCGTCGATAAGTTTGAGGTCGAGGCCGTTCGGTCAACGCCTTGCTCGGGAGTGATAATCCGGGGAACGCACCAGGTCACTGGTCCCGGTTTTTATCACACACCGACTCTTTTTGCCCGAGTCCTTCGCCAGAGAATGGTTACTTCGGGACGGGTTTGGCACTGGTGATGTTTTTGACGATGTCTCGGTGGCAGTGACCGTTTCAGATTTAGATCTTCGATGGCAGTCGACTTGACGCTGTTTTTCCGCCGACAGAATTCGACCCAGACGGTCTTCAAATGCACTTGGCCAGGATGCAAGATGGTGACGTCGACCTGCTCTGCCATCGAAAAACACGTCCGCAACGTGCACCTCGGGTGAGCGCCGGCGCTAGCCGTCACTGGGCTGGATTGCGGGCCCGCGCACTGTGTGTGTGATTTACATCGATAGAAAATCACGGAGATACAACGGACGACGATCCGTTTTCCGGATGATCCATGCGACGAACACAAAATGGATCGTGGCCCGGGGGCGCGTCAGCTGCTTGTGCTCTTTGCGCTACAAAATTGATAGAAACACGCTAGAACACAGCTGCTCAGCTATGACGGAGGGAGCGCTGATAATGCCGATGGGGAGCATGTTACAGTGATCTAGAACAGCTGCACAGCAGGGGATGGCACTGTGCAGAGTTGGAGGAAGGAATGCCTCTAAAAACTGATGGGCCGCTCAGAGAAACAGGTTTAATGCATGGCGCAAGGCTTACGGAAATCCCACGGAAAGTAGGCAGAATATTCTCCAATAGGTTTTACTGCATGCAAATTAATTTAAAAAGGCTGTTCCAGTTGTGTTTTTGAACTGATATAGCCACTTTTAACATCATTCACCGTAGTTCCCAGTCATGCTCTTTGTAAGACTACGAAGCATTTCGTTTCTGAGGTATGCGGATGTGAACTTTGCAGGCTTATTCGCCTCGCCCCATTTCAATTCACTGAGAGTGACGTCATGGAAACGTCACACGAATTCCGGCTCCTCAATGACCCCATTGTGTGCAAGGTCAAGAAAAACAGGGGATATTCGTGTCTGAATTATGTAATCGTGAAATGTTGCATGAACGGACACCAGTTGGGTTTCAACCAGCTTAACGCGATAAATGCAAGTCTCGTTCAGGAACAGCGTTTTGTGGTGCATACTCTAGACATTTAGGCAGTTTTACTAGTTCTGACGGTCATAAGGCTGGGCATCACATAACGTAAGGATAACGCCGTAGCTGAGAATGCAAATGCGAGAAAAAAACATGCCATCACAGGAAAGTGTACAAGAACACTACGCCAATCGCCAAAGTACGCGCATATAACGATGGCTATTTTTCGTACGCACAAATTACAAGCCACCTTGCAGCGAGTTGTGAAATATTACAAGTGAGTCAGCCCATGTGCTACAATGCCAATTCTAGCACGGCCAGTCTGGCGGCGACACTTATGTCATAAGAAACGTTCCATGACGTCATCAAACGACGCTGTATTGGAGAGTATATTTACGAAGCAATGAAGTTGTGCTATCCAGAGCAGTCCTGCGCACTTCAAAGCAAACCAATATTTACAAATGAGTGAGTTCCATAATATCTGATGCTTGCCTTAATATTTCCACGTGCGGAACATCTCCTTTAATGTCCTGTCCCAGCAGTGTCATGTACTGCCGTCGATGGTCCTCCATCCGGTGCAGGTCTCTGACTGTCCTCCCTTCCCCTGCACCAGCCGTCCGCCGCGCCAGGAGAACTCGGACCTCAGCGACCACGAAGAGGAGTTCTACTACACGGAGGTGGACGTCGCCATGGAGAGCATCAGCGACGGCATGGCCGGCCTGTACGCCAGCTCGCCGCCGACCCTGTCGCACATGGACATGGCGCGGCCGCCGCACGAGGACCCGCAGTACCAGCGCGAGCTGGCGCTGCGCGCCGCCGGCGGCGACGTCGGCGCGGCGCCCATCCCCATACCGCAGCCGAGGCAGTCCTGGACACCGGCACTCTGGACCACGGTTAGTGGCGGGCGGCGGCGGTGCTCGGGCGCCCGTCTCCTCCGCTCCCTGTGAAGGACCCGCACGCCGGCCGCGCTGGTCTCGCGGATGGCTCACTTGGTGCGCGTTGATTGGTCTAGACCGATGGAGTTGGTGAATACAATGTTTGAGTAGGTATTCGCACATGTTTGATCTTCCCCGTCATGACACACTTCGAGAGCTGGCCTCGTAAAATCTCTTAATGCTCACGGGAATCGCAAGTTGTCAATGTGAAGATGGAAATATACCCAGAATAAGATTAAGATCACTTTGTATACACAGAGAAGTCTCTCGTTAGGTGCCACATTCCTTTCCACCACTTACCGCTGACGGTAATATCGCGTGACAGCTACATAAGCTATTATGGGCTTGCTTGAACCACCCAAAAATAAACCACATGCCTTCCAGCAGTTGCGTGCCAGAAACAAACATACAATCACTCCTCCCATGAACAGCAGTCAGCTGTGAACGGCTCTCGATGGCCGCGGCGCATTGGCCGCCATACTACCAACGAACGCTGTAATGATCGCTTCCTCACGCCACTTTGTCGGATGGCATGCCATTAGGCGCGTTGACTGTAATTGCGCCGGGCTCAGGCATTTCCGCTGCGGTTGGTGATTCGTGTCGCCCGGCGGCCTGCGCTCTCTGCGCTGGACCCACGCTCGCCCTCTCTCCACTCTGTCTCCCGCCGTGTAACGTGCACCTGTCAGTGTAACGTGCACCTGTCAGTGCAACGCGCACCCGTCAGTGTAACGTGCACCTGTCAGTGTATGGTCAGTCGGGGAGCTGAGTGAGTGAGTGAGTGAGTGAGTGAGTGAGTGAGTGAGTGAGTGAGTGAGTGAGTGAGTGAGTGAGTGAGTGATGCGTGAGTGAGTGAGTGAGTGAGTGAGTGAGTGAGTGAGTGAGTGAGTGAGTGAGTGAGTGAGTGAGTGAGTGAGTGAGTGAGTGAGTGAGTGGAGTGTGCTGGTCGTTGGTCGCTCTGTTTATCTGCGTATTCTGGCCTCAAGAAACGTGGCGAAAATTCACTTCTTGTGAGACCCGTTTTAAGGTTTTTTAGATGAATCTGTAACTACAGGTCATTGCACCGAGGGCATGCTATTCATACGCTAAGGCTGCCTATGTATTTTACTTACGAATGAACGAAGTAACCCAGATTGACCATATGCACCTGACGCTGACTGCTGCTCCGTCCGCTGCTACCTCTGACCGCTGCTCCGCCCGCTGCTACCTCTGACCGCTGCTCCGTCCGCTGCTACCTCTGACCACTGTTCCGTCCGCTGCTACCTCTGACCACTGTTCCGTCCGCTGCTACCTCTGACCACTGTTCCGTCCGCTGCTACCTCTGACCACTGTTCCGTCCGCTGCTACCTCTGACCACTGTTCCGTCCGCTGCTACCTCTGACCGCTGCTCCGCCCGCTGCTACCTCTGACCGCTGCTCCGTCCGCTGCTACCTCTGACCGCTGCTCCGTCCGCTGCTACCTCTGACCGCTGCTCCGTCCGCTGCTACCTCTGACCGCTGCTCCGTCCGCTGCTACCTCTGACCGCTGCTCCGTCCGCTGCTACCTCTGACCGCTGCTCCGTCCGCTGCTACCTCTGACCGCTGCTCCGTCCGCTGCTACCTCTGACCGCTGTTCCGTCCGCTGCTACCTCTGACCACTGTTCCGTCTGCTGCTACCTCTGACCGCTGCTCCGTCCGCTGCTACCTCTGACCGCTGCTCCGCCCGCTGCTACCTCTGACCGCTGCTCCGTCCGCTGCTACCTCTGACCACTGTTCCGTTCGCTGCTACCTCTGACCGCCGGTCCGCTGCCCGGCAGGCCGTATCAAGCAAGTACCTCCGGCTTGGAGCCAAGGTGATCACCAGCAGTCCCAAGACGTCGCCACACCACCGCCGGCTGCGCGGCGACGTCAAAAAGTGCCGCAAGGTGAGCAGGGGCGCCGCCAGCTGTCGTCAGGGGTGTGGTCAGGGGCGCCGCCAGCTGTCGCCAGGGGTGTGTGGTCAGGGGCGCCGCCAGCTGTTGCCAGGGGTGTGTGGTCAGGGGCGCCGCCAGCTGTCGCCAGGGGTGTGTGGTCAGGGGCGCCGCCAGCTGTCGCTAGGGGTGTGGTCAGGGGCGCCGCCAGCTTCGCCAGGGGTGTGGTCAGGGGCGCCGCCAGCTGTCGCCAGGGGTGTGGTCAGGGGCGCCGTCAGCTGTCGCCAGGGGTGTGGTCAGGGGCGCCGCCAGCTGTCGTCGGGGGTGTATGGTCAGGGGCGCCGCCAGCTGTCGCCAGGGGTGTGTGGTCAGGGGCGCCGCCAGGGCTGTCGCCAGGGGTGTGGTCAGGTCAGAGGCGTCTCCAGCCGGGTGCGTGTAGTGCTGGGCTCATTTCCTGATAGTTGATAGTTGTTTGCAATGAAATGAACGAGTGATGGGCGCTATACGGCCGCGCAGTCCAAGTGCCCGAAAGCCTCGCTTATTACTGCTACTATGATGATCGAGTGCACCTCTCAATGCTTCCCTCGTATGCCAGGTGTCCCTTGTCTAAGCACATTCCGGTCCTCGTCTCCCCATCGATCCTGTCTATCTGCTAGTAGGGTGAAGAGGGTCCTCTCCATGACCTGTTTTGGAGAGGTCGCAGGAAAGCGTGTCTCTGATATTAATTGGGCAACGGAACTCACTCGACTTCAAAAACTGTTGCCAGGTTCACACAGCCATGCCTGTGTCTGCCCTGCCTGTATTGATACGCCCACATTAGGCTGTGCAGAGCTCGAAGGGTCCAGGGGTGCCGTGGCTGGCGCCGCCGTCTGGCCGCTGCTTGGCCCGCCCAGACTGCAGCACAGGAGCTCCTTCGGGCGCCCTCTGCCGCTCAGGTCTGAGTCGGTCCGCTTCGAGTCGGCGCCCCACATCGGGGCCTGGGTTCGGGCCGTTACACGCCCGCGGCGCCGCTCGGTCGTTAGCGGTGCCGTGTTTATTGGTGCCCGCCTTTTTGCGCTGCCCTCTGTGCGCACGTTTTTGTGTCGTTTTTTTGGCTACAGCGCTGATTCCGTTCCAGGTGTACGGCATGGAGCACCGGGAGCAGTGGTGTACACAGTGCAAGTGGAAAAAGGCCTGCACTCGTTTCTCGGTCGAGTGAGTGGCAAGCGCCACTTCTGCGCCGGTGGCGCCCCCGCTCGGAAAAGCCCCGAACCATGCATGGACGCCGTGCGGCCTGACGGGAGCTTCGTGAACTATGTCGTGGCGGCCTCCGACCGTTCGCAGCGCCACACAGTGGGCAAATGGAGAACTAAAGCCGTGGCCTTTGACGGAGTGGAGCCACCTGCGACGTGTACGGTCGTTCACAGCCAGAGCCTGCCCAACCATCTGCCTGAGGCAACCAGGTGACACAAAGGCTGTCCAAGAAATCTGATGTTTTTGAAGCTTTATGTGTCGTCCGGTCAGTCGAGTACAAATAACTGTGAATGTAGAGCTATTTTGATGACCCCAACCTCCCTCCGGTGTCGCAGCCGGTCGACCTGTGTAAATCTATCCCCATTATCCGTAGAGACCCAGCCAGCTCGGCCCGTTCTAGACCCTCTGAAGATCCCACCTTTAGCCGCACGTCTTCTCAAATCCGTGGAGCCCGCGTGGTGACCCGGCCCGGCCCGTCTCGACGGCTCGCGTGTGGTTCTTTTATGTCTTTCAGATGTGTACCGAGTCGCGAGTGCGGTCGGTGCCGGCTGGTCCGCGCGCGGCGGCGCCTAGGTTAGCCGCGTCCGTGGAGTGCCATTGTTCGCTAGGTATGGCCATGGACTGGGTGACACCAGGTCACAACAGAGTTCGGCGGAGCCTGAGATGGCGGGGCTGGGCAGCCCAGGATCAGATGGCGCCTTGGGATGTAGTGGTCTCCGCAGACAGAATCAAATCATCGAGGATCATTTACAGTGCAAACATGTCGTTCACCGTGTCTCACACAGCTGCCGCCGCGGGGTTTTTGTGTATGTTTGCCGGTCGCGGCTTGTCGGTCTCGTGCAGTGGTTTGGAACGGGTCAACAGTTGGCCACAGCCAGGCAGAAATATGGGTCGCAATGCGTGCGCGGAGCCCGCTGATACTGCTCCGGACGCCACGTTAGTACAAACTCCGCCTGTAAATACCATATGCAAACCGTGTCATTCGTTAGCTACCGCGCGACGACCGGGAGACGCTGCTCCCCTCTGTTGGCGAAATTCTGCACTTGCACTTACCCAGCTGCCGCTGACGCCTGCGGACGCATGTCGAGAGAGCGTTTTGTTTACGGTTTTGAGAGTTTATTTCGCCGAGCGATTTACGGCTACCTTGAGCATGACTGGCCGATGAGCTTGACTGGCGCCGTGCGGGGTGAGCGCGCTGCTGTCGCGGGCGCCGCTGGCTGCCGGGCTGAATGTCGCGTGTCGTGTGTCCAGTGATTTCGCGAGTACAAACTGGCGCCACCGCCGCCAGCCGAGCCACCGCGCGGGCATTGCTGACGTATTAGCTTTAAAGTCGCCCGCGCTGAACGGCCGTGACGGCATGGAACTGCCCGCCGGCACTCGAACGCTGTCGAAAGGTCTCCTCGGTGACGCTGGACAGACACGGCACTCGGAACGCGTGGAGTGAGTGAGTGAGTGAGTGAGTGATGAGTGAGTGAATGAATTAACAACGGAAGGGGTGAGTGAACGAGCGAGAACGTGCGTGCGAAGTGAGTAAATGTGTAAGCGAGTAAGTGAGTGACAGTGAGCGCGAGTGCCTTTGTGTGAGCGAATGCGTCTTCATGCGTGTGCTTGTGCCTGTACGCTAACAGATCGGGTGAGTGGATGAGAAATGAAGTGTGTGCGTTTGGGGGTAATTGGACGGACGCGGAGTGACAGAAGGAAGAGGGGGGGAGACCAAGCTGGTTTTGCAAGAACGTTTGGAGAGAGCGCTGAACTCATTTGGGCATCGGAGCATCAAGGGTACGGCTTCCCCTGTCTGCGATGGATGTACATACAGATGTAAATTATATTTTTAAAATAAATCTTATGTGTCAGCCGCTTGTGTGTATTACAACAAACCACATGTCATCCACACATGGGAAGAACGACACAAAGAAGAGACACGACGAGTCAGCTGACTGAGAGGCATGGCGGCTGTCCAAAACTACGAAGTGATCAATAACAACGCATAATTGAGAACAAGTGGGTGTATTTACATGAACAGACCAGTCTGATTTGAACAGATGAACATGAACAGACCAGCTCTGTTTCCTTTCGAGTGTCAATATGGGCCACAAAGAACAATAAGGCCACAGATACGTCCTTAATTAGGTTCCTTAGATTCTTGATTAAGAGAGAAGACCACTAGAAGCATGCAGTAACTACAAATGTCATTCCGTTTCATTTAGCGTAGACTTCTTTTCAGGGCTAAAATGCGTCCGACGTCCGATGCGGCATAGTCCCACACTCATATAAATGTGGTCACTTCTCAGAATTTGCAGCAATCACAACCATCACGTAACAATCATAACAGCACATCAAGTTCCTACGTGATCATAAAGCAAAACCGATATAGAGGCCAACGCCTGAGTCAACTACATCGTATAAGAAGCGTTAATGGCATGTCTGCAGGATGCACAGCTAGATGGCATCAGACAACACTCTAAAATCCGCTGAATAAAAAAGGAATGATCTTGTAGCATGCGCCGTCGTTCCAGTGGAAAGGTTAGTAAGGGTGTAACAAGCGCGGCGAAATGCACAACATCGTGGTGTTTATGCAGTTAGTAATATGTTCGATTAAATCACTGACAGCAAGATGTAATGGTTAGCGATATGAGCATTGACCACACCATGTGCACAAATCAATGTCATCAAATTGCGCTTCCACAATGAGTTTGCTTTTCAACAACACACATAACTAGCATAGTCATAACCAATGGAATGCCTTACGCTGATTATAAGAGCGGGCGGCAAAACACCAGACTTGCACGCAGGCCCTAACAACAGATTTGTAGCCAGGTTCGAACACCAGACCCGCAGTCAGGCTTGACTTGAAGCCAGGTTAGAATTAGCAGGGCTCTGACCTGCAGCCAGGTCAAAATCAGCAGGAGCTCTGACCCGCAGCAGGATCGGAATCAGCAGGGCTCTGACCTGCAGCCAGGTCGGAATCAGCAGGGCTCTGACCTGCAGCAGGATCGGAGTCAGCAGGGACCCCACACACCGCCAGTGGTCCGGCAAAATGCATCGCCGATCACTGCTCCTAGCTCTCAGTAAGGCGAGCTACAACCAGCCGCTGCGAAGGTCTGGTGCTTTTGAAGATCCTCACAGCCCCATTGTCAGTTTAGCGAGAACGGATAGACGGAGCCCTTCAGATCGTATCATACACAGGGCTGAATGAGACATTCAGCGTGTCATAAGTCTTTAGGTACTCCCTTAATACGCGCCCGGGTGGCCTGTTGAATATCCCTCGCTCGGGTGAGCGGTCAGTTAGCTCCCGCCCTGAAATCTCAAAATTAAGGGAGCTAGAAACACCAAATTTACAGGGTGGGTGGCTTGTATGTGTAATAGTTTGTGTCAAAATTTGAGGTTTCTTGGTCATCACCTTCGAGTTAAATATGGTAAAACGAGGTCAAATCCAAAGTGGTGTCCGACGCCAACAAGACCTCGTCATCCAACCACCCTGAATCTAGATACCTGATCTGAGCAAAAGTTCACTGGTGCCCATTCAAGGCCAGTGGTCTTCTTTATATTTTAGAAAATCATGGTGACCAACATCCTGCGAAATTGTCCTGATTTTTATATTTGAATAGGCGTCAAAAAATATGCTAGTTGGTATGTTCCTTAAAACAATGTGTTGACCTGGGTCATTTCAGGTCAGTGACCTACTCATTAATAGGAACAAAACGAGTATCAGAAACTACCTGATACAGCAAAATATCGAGTCAAAAAGCAGGTTGGTTTTGATCTCCGCCTGACCCCTTATACCTGGCCCTAGGCCAAAAGACTTTGTTGTAATTCTAAATTTAATTGTTTCGTCGCCTAAAAAGTGTCGCAGAAATGTACTGCTTCGTCTGACAGTTCATTGTCATCAAATCGAACGATTTCCGAGAAACGCACCAGGTTGAACGAGTTCCTGGAAACTGTCTTCGCTGACAGCCACGACCTGACTTTGACCTGCCAAATGTCAACGACATTACAAAATACGTCTCATTTTGTATGCCAACAGATCTGCTTTTTAATTACGTATAGATATGCAAAGTTAAACGTGGTAACGCCACGCCGTTCGTAAATTATTCTGTAAAAATTTGTGGGGGTGGGTCAACTGACCCGTCACCCGAGCTCATGTCAACAGTGGGATAAATTTAAGATTGCTCGCCGCATGACGATACACTGACCTATCACAAGGACCATGTCATGACCATGTCATAGGTCATGACTACACTATGATGCGCTAGGTCATACAAAAGATCTTGCTTACAGCGCGATTACAAAATGAATGTCGCTAAATGCACCACATCAGCCGTCATGAACGCACCACCTTTGACGAAGCAAAAGGACATACTCAAATGGACAGCGCCGAAAAACGGTAGGACAAAAACTTCGGCTTTTCAGCGGAACAAAACTGACATTCATGCCAGCTTGCTCCTGCTCCGCCCACATGCAGTACTCCCATGTCCCTGTCCAAATCACCTCTTCCAAATCGTTGCCGTGGTTCAAATGTAAGAAGACAATTTATCACGGTGCTCTGATACAATTCTCAAAGAAAGCACTGTGTCACGTCCATAAACTGCCACTCACTCTAAATTTTCACTCAAACGCCCAATTTCCGCTCACTCCAGATCAGACCTCCATCGACTCAGATCAGTCCAGAGTTCCAGGCCTCCTCGTGAGGTTCACTGCTCGCCACTGGCTCTACCTGAGAGGCTGCCACTCTTTAGATCGTCCCGCCGTCTTCGCCACGTAATCACCAGATCACTCCACCGCCGGCTTCTTCTGCTCCAGTTCGGTCCCCTTGCCCTTTCCGTCAGCTTCCTCTTCCTCCTCATCAGGGTACAGGTTCAGAGACTTGGCGTTGAGGAAGACGAAGACATCCGATAGCGCCGACAGCAGCTGGGTGGTGAAGACGAAGCCCACTATGCTGTACCTTAGGTGATCAGAGCGGATGGTGTTATGCGTATCATGCGGTCCCTGGCTCCGCCATGTAGATGTTGATATTTTTGCATCAGGATTGCGCATCGGCTTTCTGGCCACAATGTCGTAGTGGGCCTCCAGTACGGAATTTAAGGATGCAAAGTTTAAGCTATATGCAAAAAATTTCATCCCGTCGGAGGCTTTTCAAATGACTAGAAATATGCGAGTTTGCAAGACAAGTGGGAGAGGCAACCAAGTGACACGATGGTCATAGACTGAAAACATTGCAGCTTGTTAGATTCCGCGCTCCGGCTGGCAACCCACTTTGAAATAGCCAAAATCTACCTGAGAATAGTAAACCTTCTGACATGTCTCAGCGGCCTGTGCCCAGCTGAGTACGTTTATAAAATGCACACTAACACGGCATCGGGCTCAGCTACCCAATCCTGGACAGCATACCCCTAACACAGCCCCCACACCCCGAGCACGTCCACATCTGACACAGCACCGCACTCTCCAAACCGCGTCCGGATGATACACCCGTGGATGGCACGTCTCTACCATAGCGCCATACCGATCGGGGCAGCTTCCTTCGTCCCACGCCCCGACACCACGCCACACCGACAGGACAGCTTCCTTCGGCCCGCGCCTCGACGCCACGCCACACCGATCGGGACAGCTTCCTTCGGCCCCACGTCCCGACACCACGCCACACCGACAGGACAGCTTCCTTCGGCCCCACGCCCCGACATCACGCCCATACTGATCGGGACAGCTTCCTTCGGACCCACGTCCCGACCACCACAGCCACACCGACAGGACAGCTTCCTTCCGGCCCCCACGTCCCGACCATCACGCCACACCGATCGGGACAGCTTTTCTTCGGCCCCACGTCCCGACCGCCACGCCACACCGACGGAAGCTTCCTTCGGCCCCACGTACCGACATCACCGCCACACCGGCCGGGACAGCTTCCTTCAGCCCACGCCCCGACACCACGCCATACTGCCGCGGATCACCGCGACGTCCGCTGACGGGGCGTACCTGAGCATGTCGGGGTCGTAGACCCAGCAGGCGCCCGTGTGGCCGCATGACTGCTCCCAGACGAGGCACGCGTGGTCCACCAGGCTTCCCATGATGAGCGGGCCGGCGCCGAACGAGATGGCCACCAGCGCGCCGCTGAGACCCATCGCCATCGCCTTGTCCTCGGGCAGTACGCACCTGACGGCCAGCGGTGCTGCTCAGGGGGAGGGGGGCCGACTCCGCGCGTCGGGTCCGAGCACGGCGTCCTGTCGAGGCTGGGACCGCCGGCCGCTGGAGCGACGATCGCCGGTCGTTGGGGTGACAACCGCTGGCGCCGGCGCCCCCAGGAGCGACTGTTCGGCGGAGCGCGCCTTACAGGTGCCGGTGGTGGCGGGGAGGAAAGGGGAGAGCGACAAGCTACGGTATGAAGTCGTAGAGGTCCTCGTTCCATTCGACTGCAAGGCTGTTCTAGAGTCACAAATGGCGTTCAGCGTGAGATAAAATGGCATTGCTGACCATCGCTCTTAGCTCGGTTAGTTTCGTACACCTGTGCCTATTCTTGGACGATCCCATTATATCAGTCAACGTCACGTGCTACGACGTTTTCACACGTGCAGCTATTCCCACCAATGCCACGTACAAGAGCTTCCGGGTCGGTGCGTCAATCTTATTCCACGTCACAGCTCACAGTAAGGTCACAGCAAGGCCAATTTCAGCCCGCGAAGGTATTTAAGCTCGGAAACGGGAAGTGTTTTGTCATGGTATGTTAACCGTGCACCCTGCCAGTTGGTTGCGGTGAAGAAGGTCAGTTGTACGCCCAACAGTTCCTTGACATCATTGCGCACGTTTGATCCGTCACATCTAGCATCAATGGAATTTGAAAGCAACTACGGGACAGCGATGTTTGCAGTTGTGTAGCCCTTAGCCCACCAGATAATCCCTATTTCGTACTCGTGTGAATTAGTCGGCGAGTACCGTGTCCCGACAGCTACACAAAACAGAGCTGTTGGCGCGACACCCCCAGCTGGATGGCATGCTGTGCGAAGAACTACATGCTGCACTCTCGATTTCTATTCGTTTTTTTTCGTATTTCTACAACTAAAAATGACGATCGTATAGGGCAGGCCCGGTCATACAGAATGCCTCCTAACATGTCGCTATTGCCCACGGTATCAGGGCCTGAGGCTCACAGCCGTCCTACGCCGTGGCCGCTATCCTCACCTGAGTACGATGATGACATGTGGAATGGAGACGGCGGATTTAATCATGCCGGAGATGGCGACCATGATAAGGAACCAGTGGAACGCGTGCTCACAGCCGCCCTGGCACAGGCCGCTGGCCAGGGTGGCCCCGACGTCGTCCAGGCACCTGCCGGCACGTCGGAGGAGGAAGATGATGAACGTCTTGCGTCCGGCGGAGTGGCGAGGGCGGGGTTAGTCACGTGTCGGTCGAGAACGCCTGGCGATACGGCAGAGAGGGGCTTCAGCTCCGCACCCCTGACACGTGAGAGAATGTCAGCGGAGACTTAGACGTGAGTAGCTGACAGTACACCACAGGGGAGCGGGCAGGACTGTCCCCGACTTAGACCCCCGATAGCTGACACCACACTACAGGGGAGCGGGCAGGACTGCCCCCGACTTAGACCCCCGATAGCTGACACCATACCACAGGGGAGCGGGCAGGACTGTCCCCGACTTAGACCCCCGATAGCTGACACCACACCACAGGGGAGCGGGCGGGACTGTCCCCGACTTAGACCCCCGATAGCTGACACCACACTACAGGGGAGCGGGCAGGACTGTCCCCGACTTAGACCCCCGATAGCTGACACCATACCACAAGGGAGCGGGCGGGACTGTCCCCGACTTAGACCCCCGATAGCTGACACCACACTACAGGAAAGCGGGCAGGACTGTCCCCGACTTAGACCCCCGATAGCTGACACCATACCACAGGGGAACGGATAGAACTGTCCCCGACTTAGTTCCCTGATAGCTGACACCACACCACTGCAGAGCGGATAGGACTGTCCCCGACTTAGACCCCCGATAGCTCACACCACACCATGGGGGAGAAAGCAGGACTGACTCCGACTCAAACTCCTGATAGCTGACACCACACCACCGGGGAGTGGATAGGACTGTCCCCCGACTTCGACCCCGATAGCTGACACCACACCACTCAGAGTAGATTCATGAACCATTTACGAGTTTATATGTTGTTTGGACTAACGTCAGCCAGAAGCATATTTCCTCTGTGCTGGTGCAGTGTCATTAAGTTTTAAATGGGCGTCGGACGCGTCCGCGCAGTTGGTGCCGGTATTATGCATAATCTCCACTCACATACACGCACCTGCAGTCGGTGTAGGCGGTGTGGTTGTTGGTGCTGTTGGTGCCGTTGATCGCCGTGGTGCAGCCGGCGTGGCACGGGGAGAAGTAGGAGCGCGACGCCTCGCCGGACCGGTGACAGACAGGGATGTACTCCTCGGTGGTGCAGCCACAGGAGGTGCTACACTCGGAGGAGATGTCCAAACTCCTGGCCGGCAGCAGGCGCGGTGTCACTTCATGTTGCGGCGGAAGCAGTATTACGTGACATGACAGCGGACGTGATGTGACGGCGGCCGTGGCGTCAAAGTGGACGTAACGTGACGTGATGTAACAACGGACGTGACGTGGGTTGATGTGACAGCAGACATGATGTGGCGTGATGTGACAGTGGGCGTGGTGTGACGTGGTGTGGCATCGGACGTGATGTGACGTGGTGTGTGAGCGAAAGTAACGTGACATGATGTAAAAGGCGTCACCAGTCGTTGGCACGATCGGGAGCAGCCTCCATTTCAGGTCAGACCAAGCCACGGAAAACCGCAATTCCCGCAGCCTAAGCCAGCTCTATATTGGACCTGCGGATAATCCTGCGTGGTAATGCTATTATACGCGAAATTGCAGCGTCAAGACCTCGCATTAATAAGCCGACGGAATTTATGCCAAGCACTATTATGATGCATTTTACAGACAAACAGCCGTCAAACATAGCGCCAAGCACGAAAAGAGACTGGACGGTTTGACAACTCCCGCAGATTTCACACAATACAAGCTAATGAAATTCATGACAACAATGATCGCCTTACGAACGTGGACGGCGGACACTGTTGGAAACATGCAGGGCGCAAAACTGTCTCGTATCAATGATAGAGCTGCCTCCGCAGGCTGGTGCTCAAAATGTAGAGTTCATGTGGTGTATTTAGGGCTAATTTTGTGGAATGCTTTTCCCGACAAAGTCCCTGTTTTACGTGATGCTGTGTTATTGTTCTTGTCTGGATCTGTGCTGGATTACCCGTTGTTAGACTATAAACATATTTAAGCTTTATATCCCGGTAGTTCAGTTGGTTGGAGGGCCTGCCTGTCGACCTGCTCACCCGTGGCCGGGTGAGTTCGGGCCGCTTTAAGTGCTCGCCACTTGCCCTGGATAGGTAAAGCCTGCGGCCGGTGACAACGGCCGTGCTAAAGGTCAGCTGACTCCAGAGGGCGGGACGCACAGCGCCGAGCATAGCGGCATGTTAAGATCCGCTACCAAAAATCTGGCGTTAAAGCTTAAGTTAAAAAGTCAAATAGTCGCAAAAAGTGCAAAAGCTCGCTGCATGCCTCAGCGAAGCAATATTTGCTGTGGTGTGCACACACAGCGAGCCGGGGCTGGCGCGCCGCTGGCGGGCGTCTCACCCGTTCGGTCCGCGGATGCCGGGCAGATCGTCGCCAAAGTTGCAGTAGAAGAAGAAGTTGGTGAGGAAGACGAAGGCGCCGACCACCCTGAACGCGACGATCAGGCCCGAGACGAGGCGGCCGGAGGGCCGGAAGCGGCGCATCAGCAGGCCCGAGCCCAGTATGCCGAACACCAGCGTGACCTTGCTGACCGCTGCCGGGTCGAGGTCACATGTCATCTGACCTCGCTCAGAGGCTGAGCAGGGCGCCCGCCGGCCGGACGAACATAGAGATTATCTGGGGGGGGGGGGGGGGGGGGGCGCCACCGTTTATTTTCCGCCTGGTGCGGCACGGTGCGGGAGATATCAGGAGCCCGTCGCTGAGGACGTGCTGAGGTGGCGCGACAGTGGGCGGCGGTCGGTGGTCCCAGAAATACATGTCGTGACTTAACACCAGGGCTGTCAGACCGTCGCAGTGATAGTTCTTTCACGACGCTCGATAACTAATCAGCTGAAGTGCGTGACGGAGGACCGAAATGCCTGATAAAAATGGGTCCGACGTTGTTGCATGACATAGGGCAGATAGGTAAGGTATATTTCCAGCGAGTCGCCTCGTCATTACACCACACGCAAGCTGAGTAATGTGAACACATGCGCACGCGCTTCTGAATCGTGCGGTGAATAAATGGCCGTGTGCGGTCTGGGTCCAGAGATTCGTCCCAGAACAGCCCAGCAAGTCATCAAAGCAAGGCTCTGTTCGGTCATCATCTCGAATCTGGAGAACGACGTTTGTCTACCGTGATCTGAAATCACTGGCTGACAAACTACCCGCGGGCTGGTCATAGGTTGAACAGGGTACGCGTAACACCCACGTGTAGGCGCACCTGCGGGTCAGTTTTGTCGCATGCTCCCAGTACCGTTCTGGCTCATTCTGCGGCAGCCCACTATACGAATGTTTTGTCATGCTTCAGATCGCGGCACAGCATTCCCCTACATTCAGAGCACGGCAGATCAAGGAACCCTGTAACCCTGTTTATAACCCTGGACCCAGTGAACCCTGTTTATAGATGCCGACGAAGCAAGCACCTGTCTTTAGATCCCGGCAGATCAAGGTCTTGTTTTCAGGTCCAGACAAAGTCGTTAAATCCTGACACAAGACAGGACCAGCTTTTAGATCCTTGAAAAGTGAGGCCCTGTCTTTAGACCCCGGAAGACCTAGACCCCGTATCTAAGCCTTGACGAAGCAAGGCACTGTCTTTAAACCCGGACAATCTAGGTCCTGTATTTAAACCCCGGATGATCTAGGTACCGTATTTAAACTCCGGATGAGCTAGGTCCTGTATCCAAGCCCTGGTAAAGAAAGGCTCTGCGACACGCTATCCAAGCGCGGCCCTCTGGCGCCGACCTTTCAGCTAATGTCATGGGGCGCACTTCGTGCGAGCACACGTCAAGCCCGATCTAATAAGCCAGCTGTCCGTGGGAGTCGGACGGGAACCTGCGTTTCGTACACACATGGGTACGCTGAAAGCCATGTCCGATAAACATTTCAGAAAATAGGCTTGTTGAAAGCTGGATCATCTCTTTCCAAGAATCCCGTGTCCTGCGTGGACACGTGCCCGTTCGGTTCAGCGTCGGAGAGGATCGCACGTAGTTCGTCGCGTGCGCACTCCGGTATTTACCTGCGCGTGTTTGTGCGCACGCGTCCTTGACCTTGACGAGCATGTCTCGCGCTCCGTCAAGGCGGCCAACTGTCGACCAATGCCGCGCTGAAAACACAACTCACTCGCTCCAACTGAAAACGAGGCTCGCCGGTGAGTGCAGAACCTTGGATCAACGCGCTACCGTGCAGAGAAGGATAGCGAGGGATGGCCACGGTGGCGGCGATAAATGGTAGGACGACGTAAGGACGCCCACGAAAGGAACATACCGTGGCAGCTGGGCCGGTGATAGGTCTGACCTGAGTAGGTGGTGGCAGTGGCCTTATTGACGCGAAAATGGTGTTCCAGGTACTTGGGTTGGTAGGCGTAGAACCCGATGATGGACATCAAGAAGAAGAAGTTGGACATGATGCAGGCCATCAGCACCGGGTTCTTCAGCAGGCGAAGGGCGCGGTTGACAAACTCTGCCAAATGGTCAGACTCGTCAGTGGTGCACGGCTGAAGGTGGCACACAGAGAGCTTGGAGAAAAGTCAGTAGGCTACTCAAGACCAGCCAAGAGATCAGCTGCTCATTAAGACAGGAAAAAGGAAACACGCTCTTCAACGTTTTAAACGTGGCGTTACGTAGCATTACAAGCCTTGGCACTGGTAAACGGTATGATATCTCGCACGCTGAATCACCCTCAATGAATGTCAAGACCTTGAACAAGCAACAATCACGCGCAGATTATCAATGAATGCAGCCCTAAAGCATTCAGCGTGTCTTACGGCAAGCAAGCATTCAAGCATAGTATCTGTGGGCATTAATGCTAGTTAGCAAGCATAAAGGACGCAAACACCGGCCTTTGAAAATGCCGAGGGATAGACGAGTAGGTTGCGCCACAAATGCCAGTCGCAAAGACCGGTGCGGACGTGATCAAGTGTCGTACCGTGTCCTGCCCGGATCATTCGGGGCAGCCTGACCGAGGGGTGGGGCAGCAGGAGGGGAGGGGGCTGAGGAGGTAATTACTCCTCTGGATGGGGGAAGGGGTAAGAGTAAGCTTTATTCCTCAAGATGCTGGTGAGCCCATTTTACCAAAACTTAAGATTTGTAGCTGCACATGTCTTATCAGAATTCGGATCAAGCAGGTCACCGTATTGAGCTGGATGGCAGGAAGACGGGCTGCTTTAAGAGCGGAAGTATAACATATTTCAATTAGATGGAGAGGTTTAAAAGGTGAAGGACAAAAGGTTCCTTTAAGAAAAGATCCTTTTCTGTTCTCTGGATAACTTTCAGATCAGATCAGATCAGGACGGGCCGTTTTTCTCTCTGTTTTGTGTTCAGGAAGCTGCCTTGCTGGCTATGGAGGAACATTATGGGAGATATGTTGAACTAGTTTTGCCTGGAGTCCCCTATTTATTGTCAGATTGATCCGTCTACATGAGGAGGCTCGTATCCAAGGCCAGGAGGCCTCTCTCGTGCGCCAGAAGGTAGCTGCTCCGAATCAAGACGTTCTGTTTTGAGGAAATGGGGCCCTTTGCCCGATGGGAAGGCCCCTTTGCGAATCGGCAGGATACTGTCCTGGATTAGGCAGCTCTTCACGCATCATAAAACCTGTTTATTCAACAGGAAGCCCTGTCTTGAGATAGAAAGACCCCTTGCTTTATAGAGAATCCCACTGTATTTAGAACCAAGCCTACATTCGGATGTTTTAGCTGACGGCAGTTATTCACGTGGATATGATACACGTGTTAGAAATTTTACAAATGAACACGTGTCACCATCCTCGAACACGACAATGCTCAGGAGGTTCTGTGTGAAGAGACCCTATCTTGTCCAGAACTCGCTGGCAAAGTTTGTCGTCTCTCGCCTCAAAATCCATGACACCACCTCTGGCCTAACTGGCACATCAGAACATCAGTTCAAACCACCGCTCTGGCACGTTAGAACATGAGTTCAAACAACCGCTCTGGCACATCAGAACATCAGTTCAAACCACCGCTCTGCTAGGTATTACAGGCCTTAATGTGATGAATACCTTTTAAAAGGCCATTGTACTGACTTAAAGTAGCATGTGTTCGTTACCTTGTTTGTAGGCCAGTTAAATGACCTGACACTTGGGAGATTATTTGTTAGAAGGATTCAACGATGAGCACGACACGAGACACGAGCTCCGTACATAACATGAGATCTGAAACCAGCTTCATACCTGACACGAGCTCTGACGCGAACTCTGTACCTGACACGAGCTCCGTACCTAGCACGAGCTCTGACGCGGGCTCCGTACCTGACACGAGCTCCGTACCTGACGCGAGCTCTGACACGAGCTCCGCACCTTGTTTGTAGGGCCTGCCAATGCTGCGACACGTGCCCTGCACTTGATGTTGATTCGGTGAGCCAACACGGGCGGCGCACCTTGCCTGGAGGGCCGCTGGCTGGCGTCACTGGCGACGAGGCGGCGCCGCTCGGCCGCCGGCAGGTGGTCCCTGCTGAGGTGGCGCGGGAACAGCGATATGAGCCAGCCGTACAGCGTCAGCAGGCCGGCGATCACCAGCAGACCGATCCACCAGGCGCCGATCCAACGCTGGTCCCGCTTGGTGATGCCTGCGGCGGGACGGGTCAGGTCAGGGTCATCAAGGGCAGGGCGGGCCAGGCGCCAATCCAGCGCTGGTCCCGCTTGGTGATGCCTGTAGAGGGACGTGTCAGGTCAGGGTCATCACGGGCACGCCGAGCCAGGCGCCGACCCAGCGCTGGTCCCGCTTGGTGATGCCTGCGGCGGGACGGATCAGGTCAGGGTCATCAATGGCAGGGCGGGTCAGGCACCGACCCAGCGCTGGTCTCGCCTGGTGATGCCTGCGGCGGGACGGGTCAGGTCAGGGTCATCACGGGCAGGACGGACCAGACACAGACTCAGCGCTGGTCCCGCTTGGCAGTGTCTGCGGGGTGCCAACTGACAACGGCCGTCGCGTCCACACCTCTCGCGCGTCAGCCTGACACTCTGAACTGGGCCTCGATGGAAGGAGCGCCTGCAATGCTAGCCACAGACTGGTGAAGACTCCCGCAGAGAGCCTGTCAGAGTCTCAGACTCCTGGCAGACTCCTGGCAGACGCGTCCTCAGACCATGCCATGCGGCCTGACGTCACAGGACCACAGCAGTGGTGGAGTCGGGCAGATGTACATTGTTGCATGTCGCTTACAGACTTTCACTCACCTGATGATTGCGTTCGCGGGAAGTTCGTTGACAAGTGTAATGACAAGTGTGAATCGCAGAATCAAAATCAAAGACAGGTACCGATATCAGTCACAACGCGCAAAGAACCTCCCGTGTCTCAAACATGTGTCATCCTTTGAAGACACTTCTGGAAAAGACTTGGAGTTTGGCATCATAGCGCGATCGAAGTTAAGTCTTGGCAAACAAGTACACAGACCATGGCCCACGCGACCTACCTGGATCGATGTTTGGATCCACGTAGACGGAGATGCAGGCGGAAGCCAGCATGTAGCCCATGATGGGACCCAGGATACGGGCGATGCCTGCCAGCGCTGCCAGCGAGAACACGGCCAGTTCTGAGACGGCTCATGGGCACGCACCCCAGACTGCAGGGATGGCGGTCTTATCCTGCTCCGGCAGCTGAGCGAGAAGTGGAAGGCTCATGTTTGACGAAATGAGGTGTGATGATGTCCTGGTCGCATGTTGGCGCCCAGTATTAGGATGATAAAAGGTCAAACGTCATTACTTGCCGCAGGGTCACCTAGATGAAACTGGCCAGTCATGGGCCAGCTACCACCACCAGGGTGCGCACCGGTGTTGAAGTGGCCTGTTTATGCTTCCTGGAGATAGTCTCAGAGCGAGCTTAACTCTTATGAGGGAAAGTCCTTTAGTTCATGGCCGTTCGGCGTTATGAGTTGAAAGTTCTTATGTTAAGTTAACGACCTTCAACATATCAAGAGGGACTAGTTAAACGACGATGTGGTGGAAACTAACAATTAACGAGGATGAGTACGGCTTGAAATATAGAGTATCGTTATCATTATTGCCATCTTGCGCTATAACGTCATTTAATCAATACCTCCTGGTGTGCTGAAGGTTGTTAACTAAACAGTAATGCTCCAATTATGGGACCACTCTTTTGGACTAGATCTGTTTTCTTATTCTCGACAACCACAATCAAAGGCTTGAATGAGTTATATGCATTTCATGAACATGCACATATCCTGTCACCCCATATTTAGTGGAGGAAGAATTTATTTGTCTGACTTGTTATTTTTTACTGGAAAACAGCCGACGGCTGGGTGGACAGGTGGTATGGAATCCAAAGGGTATCCAACTAAGCGTATCCAAAAGTAATCAAATTTAGAGATGTCCGGTAAAATGTTGCAATTGTTATGGAATGTGGGCTGCCTGGCTCTGCAGGCACTACTCGTCTGCTAGGTCTAAGCATAGTCTTATGAGTTTGAAAAACGTGATATCGTCCCTGAAACTGTACCAGAACATCTTTCGTTATCTAGTTCTTTGTCGACAAATCGGTATGTATTGCTTCCGCTTTTGCTATTCCCCCACCTTTCCTCCCAAAACGTTTGTTTATTAAGCACGTGTCAGCACTTTATTCTTTTTGCTTTAAAGATTCAATAAGAACCTTTTGCATGGAAAGACCTCTGAGATCAGACCTCACGTTTAGCAGTGCGCTGCACAGTCCGCCCAGCCATTTGACGTCGCATGGCCTTTATCCCGCATGGCCGCCGCCACCGCACCTGTCTAGGGCCGGCAGGCCCGTCAGAAGTAAAAAGCTTGCGCTTAAAGCGACCCGAACCCACCCAGCCGAGGGCGAGCGCATGCGAACGCAGCCGCTCTAACCAACTGAGCCAACGAAAATGACAGCTCATGCTGACCAGCGCGCAGGCCGGCGATAGCGCGCTCACCCCCACTGACATTGCAACATAGCGTTCCACTGAGGTGACCGTGTCAACTACTGGGCCATGACTGCACCGGCTGTTGCCGCCCGCCGGTCCAACGCGGGCTCATGCCGAACGACCACAAAAAAGGGGCGCGTCCTCACATGAAGCAAGAATTGTTTGATGAACTGTACCGTAAAGCGGGCTTTGCCATGGGCCTGTGGTAGCCTGTGTATCAGTTAGCCTGTGACCTTCGCTCGAACACGAACGTCACAGGCTTCGTCTTCGCTCCAAGGCGAAAGCCCACTGCGCTGCCAATGGGCTGAAAATATACCAACCTAGGCAGCTATTACCTGCGGATTTGGATCTCTTGATTTCGCCTAGTCATTAATTATAATGGTATGATGTAATATATCTCTCATCAACGTTACCATAAACAGCTTGTAGCAATTTCGCCTGTGGGCAGCGTAGGTCTTTCAATACTTGTTTATCCAAATTGTTATCCATAAGTAGATGTGGGCCTAAAACTTTAAGCCAAGTTGAAGTGATGCTTAAGGGTTCTCGGTCGTCGCCCAGCTAAACCCTCGTGTGATCCCTATCAAAATGATCGGAAAATGAATCTTGAAGGACAGCAAAGCCCGCTGATGGTCACTCAGATAGATGACAACAGGCACGCGCCTAGGGCGTGGGTTGGGGCCGAGGTGATGGACTGACACAACTCCAGTGCTCAGTTGAGGACTTTACTTTCGGGCCGTTTCCACACATGTGCTAAGAAACGTTTCCGGCAAAAGTTTTTCCACAGGGGGTCGGATTGGTATACACGTTGAACAAACACCGCCAACTCTACAATTTGCACGAAAACGCGAAAAAACGGGCTATGTGACGGTCCCAGCTCTCCCCTCCGGCCGGCTATGTGACGGTGTGAGCTTGGCGCTCCGGCCCGCGGACTTGGGCTCTCTGCGGCCATTCTCGGCTCCCCCGTGGACCTTGGGATGGCTGTAGAAAGTAACGTCACACCTGTTGGCTGTTCGTTTTGCACAGGGCCGTTTGTGGTGCACAACACAACAGCCCGTTGCCGACCAGAATAATAGGCCTCTGCAGCGAACCTATTGCGGGCTCACCACAGCGACGGCCTTGAAGTGACAGCCAGTCAGAGCCACAGCCAGCCAGCCAGGCAGCCAGAGCGTACTCGAGTCGAGATGACTGCAGGAAGGGACGCCAACGCAGGCTGATGTTATAACGATGTCATCGCGATTCTGTTCTGCGTGATAACCATGTGTATTTCGAAATGAAGATTGATTCGTTAATACGAAACCAGCAGGTGGATATCAAATTGTGGCACGCCATTGAGATCCGGGCCTGAATGTTGGCTCAAAGCGACTGGTAACAAACGTTCTATTTAAAAGGAGTACCAGATAACTGAGGAAGTGCAACGTGAAGTGCATAGCGCAAAATACTTCTATTGGAATTAGCAGTAAGTAAAGCGCAGTAAGTTAAGTGAAGCTGGTGAAATAGTTCATTAGCAACCCCAAAGGTAAGCCCGTGGTAAGCCAATCTCTTGTTAGCAAAATTTAAAGGGAAAGTGCCCATTCTTGAACGGCCGGTCGGCTGTCGCACTTATGTAAAGGAGTGGCAACAGGTCAAATGTCTTCATGCACATGCAATATGCATCTATCGCTGCTATTCTACCATTGATACAAGAGAGAGTCCTTAAGCTTCTAAAGAGCATCTCAATTTTGATCATGGTGGCCGTGGTGGCCATATTGACTATGGGCCATATATTGACTATGGGCCAAGGTGGGTGTCGTATACTATGGGCCAGGGATGTGGAGCAACCGATGCTTATTAGCAACGCGACCACCGCATCGTAAAATCTGTTTCGTTCAAAATGGTAGCGATGCGCTACCTACATTCCTCCAGGTCGCACGCTGGTTGGTAAATAATTGCGTTGGAACACCCGGTGGAGGCATTTTCATATTCCGTTCTGAACATATGCCTCACCCAAACCCTATTTTTTGCAATTGGTCACGCTGCTTCACATTATCACAGCCCTGCAGCGCAGTATAAAACAAACATGCTTACGCCTCGAGACGCTCATTGTGACTGGGTGTGATCGTGCGCCTTAGCATTGGCCTGAGTCCGTCTTATCCTCTACGCGTGGGCTGTGACATATAAGTATGGACGAGCGCATGTTTTAACCTTATGCCATGACTCTGGGCAGTAACAGCCTGATGTTAGGACAGAATGTGCCATGCTCGTGTCGATGCGGGCATGGCACATGGGCGTGGCATACGCATACAGACATCCCCAAAGCTTTTGATAGCGCTGCTAAAAGCTGGGAAAGCTGACTGCGCTGCTGATGACGAACCGAAGAAGAGTGGTGAGTTCCTCTGAGAAACGCCGTCGTCCATGTAGGGCGCACTGACAATGTAGATGGTCTGGGAGCCGCTGGCTGAAACAGGGACGCAAGAGTCATGGTCTGTGCAGAGACCGACATCACACGCGCATATCGCAGCTGAGACGCTCACCTGCCATCAGCGGCGGATTTTCCCTATTCCGGTGGCGGAGGAAAGGTTCCTTCCCCTCCTCCCAAACGTTGAGAGAAAAGTGGCCCAAATCCGGTTTAAAAACCCATTTGTCGGCCAAGGTCGGGGTAGGTTTCGTCATTTTTCACTGGTCAGCTACCTTCCAAGCTCATTTTGCAAAACCACGCACATGACTGCGAAAAATATGGATATCATGATAGTTATTCATAGTTACAACTAGCATTGGCATCGCAATATAAAACATCAGGGAGCACGCGCTAAACAGACCGGACAAGCCTGACAACAAATATGGTAAGTCGCCCAGCACGAAATAAAGACCAGAACAGCGGATAAGGTCAGAACAGGGCCAGGCGTCGGCTTCAGCAGGCTTTTTCTGACGGCGGACTACACTAATTTTTCTGGAGAAAAAAGGGAAGAAAAGACAGCTTTTTGGATGGGGACAAGGACAGCAAAGGTGCACTAGTAGAATGAAGCCCAAAGCACTGCCACAAAGCTGCTTCGTGATTTTTTTTGTCAAACCACTGGCGCTGTCAGCTGCGCGAAGCATTCGACCGTAACTAGACCACCCCGGCGGTCCTTCTGATCACACGAGGGTCAGACATGCGATGCCGGCGGGCGAGCAGTCCAGCTGCCCACCTGTTCCGCTCGAGCCCATCCGACTCGTCAGTGCAAATCCAAAATCTTCCCCGCCCTGCCCGCTGGCTGATGCCCAGCACAGATGCGGCGTCCAGTTCGAGATGTTTTCGTTCGTGCGCGAAGGATGCGGCTTGGCGCACACGATGTCATTGTGGGAGCAGTATCGGCGGGAAACGCAAATTTTGTTGTTGGACGGCACGAACTTTTGTTTTCAAACCACTCCTTGACGACGTATAACTAACTGTCGCTGGTCTTCTTGTGAAGCAGTGGCCATGGTACAGTGGCCCTCGAAAAAAAAAATGTTTATCATCGAAACCGAAGACTGCAACTGTGTGCATTCGATAGCACTGGTATAGGACTATCAGCTGCTGGTACAACACACTGGCCAGATTTTCGCTTCTGTTTTATCCGGTCGATTCCCGACAGCGTTTCCTTCAGTGTTTGCCGTGCGGCCTGAGCGGCGATTTGCACACATACGGCGCCAAATTTTAAATACTTTTACTTGTGGGTGGAAGGTTAAACCTAGAACACATCATTGTGGGAGCGCTGTCGGCTTGCAATGTAAATATCATCGGCCGGCATGGCCTTTTTGGCTCAAATCAACCCTTACTTGATTTAATTGAAATTCTTGAGTGAATTCTGCGCATTGCCTACTTTTGCAGACAGTGCTACGCATATTCCGCATGCACAGTACAAATATGGCTACCATATGACTGAAAAAGAGGGGAAATAAGTTAAACTACTTCAGCGCAGGATAATCCCGTTACAGCGGCCCATTTTGCATTATTCACAGCAATTTGAGGTATCATCATTTTTACGCAGACTATGAAAATAAGGAAACGGCATTCCGAGTGATATAACAGCCCGAGTTCATTGCATCGCTAAGGACGGTGGCGACACCTCGCGGAACGCGAAGCCGCATTAATCATGGTCTAAGACAGCGTCAGGAGTCAAGACGGATCATGTTCGGGACAGCTATACTGACCCAAACTAAGGCCGGCGAGATCGAACCTCTTGCCGGCCATGTCACAAAACAGTCCTGCCGGACATGTTGCCGACTTTTTTCGGTACCTTTACAAGCGATCGGTACATGATACTTCCGGCGATTCCATAAAGAGCACTTGTGTTTCACCAAAAGGGAGGCAGAGGAAGCGTGAAGCTCCTGTCACAGAGTGGGACCATAAAAATGCATCAGTTGCGTCCATGGACAGATTCGCAAGCCCAGATTCGAGTGTTTGTATGTCGCCACTCGCTATAGCCTTTTGGTAAGAAATGAGAACCTGATTTATGGCAAGATAAGGGAAGTGCATGGCTGTCAACACATTACATCAAGAAATATAAAAAGGTGTAATTATTCTGATTCCGAAGAAAGGAAAAATAAACATGGTTGGAATCGTTACGACCAATCAGCCTCTTGGATGTCGTTTTTAAGGCCGCTACAATTTTTCATCAAAACCCTTGCAAGGCGTATTGGAAAAGTGCTTACAGCTCTGATTAGCCCACACCAGACAGGATTCATAAAAGTGAACATAACGGAGAGAATATGAGAATGTTGTTAAACTTCTGAACAGAAGCCACAGATGTGAAACACCAGGATGTCCTTTGTTCTGTGTCTGGTAAACGCATACGGTTCTGTTGACAGGGCATATTTGAAAACCTTTCCGTAACATTACATTTTAGTGGTGCTATGGCGAAACAGACCAGCTTAATGTACCAAGAAACCGTTATCACTAGCACAGCGCAAATTCATATCAACGGAGAACTGTCGAAATCGTACCCCATCGTGAAAGGCCTGAGACAGGAATACCTGTTAAGTTGCACCCTTTTCCTGTTATGCATAGAACCAATGCTGCAAGGACTCCGCGACGTCAGGATAAAAGGACTTCCCTTCGGGCATGCTGGGATCAACGTATAAGCATGCGCCGACGACATTTTGATAGCAATGAATGGCCAAGCAGAAACGCTTTGGGAATTACTTAGTTTGTTAACATAATTTTATGACGTGTCTGATCAAAAGCTAAATACGCAAAACGAAGCTCGAGCCGTTTGATTTGAAGCGATCGCCGTAAACAGACGGGCATTAGGCATTCGGTAAAGCATTAGGTAAAGGTATTTAGGCATTAGGAAGAGGCATTAGGTAAAGCATTAAGGCTGACATGGGTATTCGGTTCAGTAGAATGCCTTTGTCTTACAATGAAGCCGAGTCGTGAAAGGCTATCGAAATAGATATGTGGCCACAATCTGTCCGGTTTTCTCCTTTCACTGGAGAAACGCCAAGAAGATAAAACGGTTCAATCAGAAAATATTTGGCAGCACGGAGGACTGAAGCTTACGGACGTAGGGACTCAGGCAGACAGCCTTGATGCGACTTGGGTAAGAAGCGTGTTTGACACGCACCGCAGAAGTAAATGGAAGACAGCAGCAGAGCAGAGCTGTTTTGCATGTGTTAATTGGCGATAAATTTTGGTCTGAGATGGTAGTTGCTTGGCTCAAAAATAGCACGACATAATGTCGAGCAGCTAGTCAGATACTACTTAGGCCACTATGGCACAAGTGGACGCAACTAGAAGGAAACAATATTATTTTTTCCAAAGCAAGCACTAATCACACGAGGTGTGGTGGCTGAGTCAGACACATGCGATGTAGAATAGAAAAGGCTAAAAGGAGGAGTAAGTCTAAAACGCCAATATGGCTGCGGAACTTCCTTTCCATCACGTGCTTTGTTAGCAGGACTACCCCCTGAATGTAAAGCCATCCTCTCACGGGACAGAGCGAGAGCATCACGTTTTCCTAGATTTTTCAGCATGGTAGGGAAACCGTTAAAACCGCGGGATGATCGGACAGTCTCCTCCTAAAAACGACTGGTTTGACCATCCCTGAAAAGTATCAAAGGAAATGTATTAATGAACTCAACCTTCCAGATACCTTCAAGTAGGGCTGTGTATTTTCCTATAGATATAAACAAACACCAGATTTTAAGCTGAGACGGCTCCAATTAATAATTTTGTGCTGTACCCTGCTAATGAATAAGGGCCTCATTTTTTAAGGCATACGTGACTCAAAAGAATGCTACAAGCGCGCTGGACAGAACTTATTTATTTCCCACACATTCCGGTATTGTACGTTAGTTAAAAGGTTGAGTCAACACACAAATATCTTTATTATCATAGTTAACGACGAAATCGGTTATGCTTGGCTTGGCCAACACGGTGGAGCTCGCCCCCTATGTCGAGGCGCTTTATCTACGTGCATTATGTCGGGCAGAAACTAGACGTATGTGGCTATGCACGTATTCAGGCGTTCGTCCGCAGCTAGCAGGCCTCATATAATCAAAAGTACATTGCATTCGAGTAGAAAAATATGTAGCCACCACATCAAACAAGATGCCCAGGTGTTGTGATAAGTGGACTCGACTGACCGAGGTTCCGGAGAACAGTGAGCGATCACCACGGCACCACGGGGGACTGCCGTGCAGCGTGCGGGGGTATGGAGCGCCGGATCACCACTGGCCGCTGCCAGTCATCCCACTTGGGCTGTACTGATGGGCCCAGATCCCACGGCTTGCGGGACGGGGGATCAGCTCTTCCCTTCCGACCCTAGTTGCATAGCCGTGGTGCGGATGGTGTGGTGGAGGACTGCGGGAGAGGCTGAGAAAGAACGAACGGCATGCGGCACGCGTGTTACCATGTGTGTGAGATTGCTTGCGCTGCTACACAGACGCAAGCACATACGCACGATGGTAAGAGTGTCGGATATAAAGCCACAGAAATGGTACGGGTTCCAGAGTAAACATGAAAACCCGAGCATTCTGCTGAAGTGTATAGGTGCTAACATATAAACAATGTTGTCGCGGCAACGTCACGTAGTGGGCCGACTCATGTGGCTGTACGCCTCGCTTGCCGGGCACGGGTACCCACCCGGGTCAGCCCCGTTCCACTCGGGTTTGCCCGCCGTAGCGAGGAGCGGCACCGGCAGCGGCGAGAGATAGCGTGACCCTGAATATATGTCGTCTTTGTGTGGCAAATGAAGATCAAAATCTCATCTGATCGAAAGACTTCACGTTCGTAGCAGTACGGACGTTATCACTGCGCAGGTGCTGCCCACTTGTGCAGTTTGCCGCATCACAAAAGGAAGCAGTGGGCATAAAACAGTCAAAATCGATAATACCTCAGCTGTCAGCTGGATTGGTGGGAATTGTGGATTAATGGCAATAAAGGTTATTCCGCCGGCTGGTTTCGTTTGAACGAAGACGATGCCACGGGCGAGACCG